GTCTCTGATTTGGAAAGTTTGGGACATTTACATCTGTCAGCTGATAAGCATTTGCTTCACTTTTTGCATCTTCTCTCAGTTATCCCCCTAAATCTATGTGAACTTGTTGGGGAGGATGACCAATTTTCGTGGGTGGGTTGGTGTTAGGGACAGATTGGAGCCCCCTGAAGCCTTGTTCTTCTCGCTGTGGAGTATGAGATGTTTGAAGCTAATTGTACTCAACACATTGTAGTGTCTGTGCTCTTCGTTGTACTCTAAAATCAGATATGGGCCAATATCCACCAACTTTAGCTTCCCAAGATGATTCAGAGAACAAAGTCCTGCAGAAGTCCTGTTTACTCCCACCAAGGATGCCAGTGCAGGAAATGGGATTTTCTCAATCCTCATGCTTTTGAGTGCTTTGGGGGTTTTTGGGTTGGGTTTGGGTTTGGTTTTTTTTTTTTTTCAATGACTGAATATTTCTTTGAAAACTGATTCCTGAGATTCCGTGTTTGAGCCTCGAGCAAGTTTTTACAGCACAGTGTGAGCTCCCAGAAACAGTTTAACATTGACATAGTTATAATTAACTTAAAGGAGTTAATAAAACAGAACTCGCTGTGGAAGTTGGCAGGAAAGTCACATTTTCGTCAAGCTCCCTTGTGATTATAGCTTCAGAGTTGAACAGCGTGGTGGGGTGTGTGGGGTCCTCCAGCGCCTGCACGACTGAAACCAGCTGAAGTCCTTTGAGCTTGTCATGACTCCTGTAGGGCACCAGCCACCTTCCGGGCACGCATGGGTGGGATGTTCCAGAATTTGGTAAGCTTTGGGTTCAGGTGGAGGATTTCTGTGTTTCAGGGCTCTGGCTGGGTGAGGAGGTTGATGCTTGAGGAGCAGGCTGGCCAGGAGGGAGGTGGGATCAGTGACTGCTTTTGCTGTCACAGTTCAACTCTGCTGTCTATTTGTCTGTCTGTCTTTTAAATTGTGCTTTATTCATGTATTCACAGTAGCTATTTAATTCATTGTTTCGCTTGTCTTTTCAAAGAAACACTGAATCCTGAATCATCTGTAGCTCTTCCACGTGTGTTTCCCTTTTTTTTTTTTTTTTTCCCCCTTTGTCAGCTGTGTTAATTTGCCTGTAACGAACTTGATAGTATGTCATCCTGGATAGAGAGAATCCAGCAATTGTAGGATATAAAGCTGACAATTTTCAAGAAAATATGCTTTCAGAATAATTGAAAAAATCTCTAGGGCTATTGTTACTCTTTGGAGATGCAATTTGAAAGTCTAAAACCAGCAGGGTTCGAACTAGAGGAGTAAAGGGAGAAACGCGTTCCTGCCCAGGCAAGCCGATGGCTCTTTGGAGAAAGAGAACCAAAAAGAGCTTCTTGGATGTTTTCCTGGGTGTTTCCCTTGCTCTGGTTACTGAGTGAGTAGTTCTGGACCATGCAGTGACTTTGTAAGGACAGAGGATACCTGCTCAGGTGATGTGGTGGTGACATTCGTTCGTTCGTGCAGCAATTCCTTTTCTCTAATGGAATATCAGTTACACGAGTTCTTCTGTTTGAAAAAGTGTCATTGCTAGTGGCTTTGAGAAGCAAATACAGGCTCGTGCTGTGAGTAAGTACATGGACTGCTCTCACGCAGAGGAACATGAATGTCTTGAGCAGGAAATTTTTTTCACCATCTTCTGCGCAGCTCAGATTACATGTTTTCATTAGACATCTGGTTGAATAATTGGTTCTTCGCAAATGGGTAGGTTAAAATAATTGGAGGAATAAAGTTTTTGAGTGGTTGTATGCAATTTTTAGATATATTTTCCCTCTGATATCTCCTTATTTGCATTTTTGAGTATTTGCAGCAGGCTAGAAATTCTACTCTAGAGTTGCACGTAAAAATTGTTTATTGGGGGGGAGAGTTGAAAGTGCTTGGTTTTTTGCATCCAAGGTTTTTAAACCTATTTGATCAAATGCCATCTATTTCTGTAGGCTATGTCATTTTAATGGAAACCAAGAGTATCTAAGGATATTTTTTTCCTACAGTGTTTTAAAACAAAATAAAAAAAAAAAGGCAAACGTACTTTATTTAATGTGGTACCAGTTCCCGATGGACTGGTGAAATGCTGCTGTGTTTCACTTTTGCCGCTCCCAGGAGAGGAAAGAATAAATGGAAGAATCATTCAGTCTGAACTTCCCACCTGTCCTTAAAGATGACTTCCAGACTGTGGCTAAAGGAGTTTGTGTCAGTACTGAAGACTCTTATTTGTTCTGGAATCAACTCGTGGACAAATGAAAGATGCTTCTAGTTTCCAAGGCTAAACATCTAGCACCTTTCCTGATCCCTCAGCTTTTCTTTTTGCTTCATGCACATTTATTTAGAAAAGGAAAGTAGCTAGTGTCAATAGATCTGTACAGATGTCTTTAATCAGTTTCCAAATGTGTAACAATGGTACAAAGAAACATAATAAAGTCATGTGTTTTATTTTAACACTCTTTTAGGGTCAAGAGCCAAATTGTTTCTGCTGCGTTTGGTTCTTGAAGCTGTTACAGGATCTTGCCATAAGTTTTTCCAGGACTATGAGCCATGCAAGAAAAGAAAGTAGGGTTTGACCCAATGTTTAAATACTATAAGTGATTTGCAAGGTGAGAATTTTTCAAATTGTCTCTAAAACATTACTGGCTAAACCAGTGCCCTTATTTTCCTTTTATTTCCTATTATTTTATTTCAGTATTAACTCATCTTTAGGTGTATTGCAGTGCAGGTCCACACTTCTGTACTCTTCTCCATGCAGAGCAGTTAAGTTGTTCCTCCTCTCCTCTTTTCCTTCCCCCACTCCTTATCTGGAAAAGGAAAGATCTACATAGGTGAGAAAGGATGAGTTTATAGATGTTTCTTAAAATGAGATCTACCTTGATGGAGAAAACTTGTAAAACCAAGAAATAAACCTGATACACTGTAATTGCAAAGAGTTGAGTTCTGTTTGTTTCCAAGACCTTAAAATCTAAGGTGTTCATTCTCCATCACTAAACTCTCTTGTTCCTCATGGCTTGTCCGAGGCTGTCACATCAACCACATAAATTTGTATTCAGTTATTGCAATATCTTAAATAGCTCCAGCTCTGTAATCTTTGCAAGGTTTGTGTTTCCCCTGTGCAACTGTTTGCAAGTTCTGACTCGTCTTTGTGTTTCCATTTAATCGTAGCTTTGTAATTTCTCCTGTTAGCGTGCTCTTTTCGTTCTTGCTAGTAGGTTGTGGCAAGCTATTTGTTTACCTATGTAAAAGAGAGGAAGAAATTTTGTTCTTAGTCCTGTGCATGTCTTTCAGTGACTTATTTAGTAGTCTGTCTGCGTGTGGGATGGCAGGGCTGAACCTGCAGGCACCCCAGCTGCCTTTCATGCACGTGTCGCACAATGCGAGAGCGCCCATTGTATTCTTTTTTTCTTTTTTCCCCCCACGGAAGGGGTCAAAAGTGTGAGTCGGTAACAGCATCTTTAACGTGAAGAAGCAATCGTGAAGCGTGGTGCGTGGCAGAAGCTCCGCGCACGCCGCCGCCAGGTGCACGGGAGCGAGCCCACTGCGCGCTGGCGCGAGCTGCAGATGCTCCGGCAGCCTGGCTGTGCAGGCAGCCTGCTCTGCCTTCTCAGCTTTGACGTGAAAACCACACCGATGAAAAGCAGATCTTATTTGAGGAAGTTGAAAAGACGTATCGTTTAAGTGGTTTGGGTTAAATAAGCACCGTTTATTTCGAACTTGCAGGGCAGCTGAATGTATATGGTGTTAGGGCTTAGATTTGCAAGGGGAGTATCCACAGATACCTAAAGAGAAACAGGTGGGGAATATCACATGCGGTATCAAAGATGCTTTTGTGCTGAGAATTACTGAATTAAGGTGTGACAAAGCTGCTTTGTTAACTGACCAACGTTGTTAAAATCTCTTTCCTTTTTCAAACAGGAAATCTTGCTGGCCCACACAGGAAAAGCAAAAGCAGTTGACAAAAGGCTTGTAATTTATATACTGACAGCCTACTTCATTGTTAAACATGATTCTTTAATGCACTGTATCTGCTGTCTGATAGATTTCCTTGTAGCCTGTTACCCAGCTGAAACTAGCAACGTATCAGCGTTGTTTCTTTTTCCTTGGAAATTGAGGATAAATTCAGTGTGCTTTGAAGATACTGTGTTCTGAGACCTTGCAGAGCTGGTGAGCGACCGCGCTTGGCGGCTGTTTAATTGGTCTCTAGAAAATTGTACTTATAAGGCCCGGTTTTTGTTACACGGTACAAATCTCGGATATGCTGGTGAGACTCAAGGGTTAAATTCCCAACACTGTCGCATATGGCAGTGAGCAGAATCACAGATGTTGATGATACAACATAATTAGTATTCTTTTATGTAAATGAAGGCTGTCAATGTTACCATAGTGTCTATACTCTTTCAAGCTGGAATCTATGCCACTTGGTCTCACCAAGGCTAGACAGGATTATTCCACAATTTTCTATCAAGACCTGAGCAGAAAAATAAAGAAGAAAGAGGGGGACAACAGGTCAGGGAGGAAGGTGGGAAGGGATATTTCCAACTTGGAAAGAGGAGACCAAATCAGTCCTTTGTTTAGGTAGGAGTTCCAAAAGTGTCTTTCCAGGCCCTAGGATTTGTGAGTGAATGAACACAGCCCAAAGGAGAGGTGTAGCAGATTTTGGAACTGTTTTAAATGAACAACTAGCACGGTTATTTAGACACTGCAGAATCACTCTGCGGAGACGAATTCTGAAGTGGCCACTTGTGCTGTAATCTAAAGTCGAAAAGAGTTAAAGAATAGAAAAGCTTTGATTTTTCTTTAATAGATTCCATCTTTAAGCAGCAGTGTCACTGGAAAAAGATAGTAATTAAAGTAAATTTGCATAATTTGGGGACCACTAAAAATCTTAGCCTGGTCAGATAGGTTTTCTGCATACCAATCGAGGCAACTGTTCAATACCTATCTTAAAGCTTTGGGAAAGCGTGCCGTGGCCTTCGTTATATTAAACTTTGCCCCTCGTAAAATGATTTTTTTAGCCAAATATTCTGTATGCCAGACCTGACACTCTCTGTGACATCTGTAACCACTTTGTGCATATTGTTGCTGTCCCTCCTATCACTACTTTGTATGGTATTGAAGTGCTGTAGTCGTAGATGCGTAAGCAAGTTAATTTAGTCTTTCCTGGATTATTACAACAGATATGTTTTTACAATCTTTTCTGCCTTTGGCAAAATGCAGGTTTTTCCTATTTTTTCTTTCTTCTGTAGTTCTTATTTTGTTACCATTCACACTTGGCAACTATTCATTACTTCATTTTTATTGTTTGAAAAATCATCTAGAAATGAAATTTAATTCAGGACAGATTTTTTTTTTTTTTCTTTTTCCCCATCTCCTCCCCCCTTCTTTCACCAAGTTATCGAAGCAGCCAAAATTGAAGTGATCACAGGAGGTGCACGTTTTTGCTCAGTTTTTTTTTTTTTCCTCAGATTTTTTCTCTGCCATATGTTGGGTCATCCACTACAAAAGACTTATGATGAAGAGGCTACATGTGATCAGCAGATTTATAGATTATCAGAAAATGAAAGCAGAAAAATGAAATTCCAGAGTGCCTCTTCCATGTGACGTTTCTTAACATCTAAGTATTTGGGTTCCTGGGTGCGTTCATGCTTTGACTTCCAGATAATTCTGTTCTCTGTATTAAATGTGTTCTCTGCAGTAGCTCTTGCACTGAGGGGATTAATCGTGTTCAAAAGCAACCCTGCCAGCGTTCCTAGTTTGTTTATGTGCATCACAAGAATATTCTCTCTCTAGGGCTTTGAAGCTGTGCTGCCTTACAATGAAGACTTAAGTAGTAATTAAATTCTCGAAGAACCGCCAAGACTCCTTTGGCTGAAATGGGGATGTTCCGGGCCCTGGATGCTGCGTCGCGGAGGAAAGGATGTTTAAACATGACTCCGTGAGTAGGGCGTGCGAGCGGCTCTTTCCGTTGGATCAGAGCGTCGGAGGGACTGTACAAAAGAAACCACAGTGCTGGCACGCGGTGTCTTAGTTGTGCTCTTTGTACAGCTGAGTATCTTTTATAAAACATATGGGCGCAGGACATGGAGTGAAAGCTTTTTGCGCCTTCTAGTATCCCTGCTTTGATTTCTCTTCAATTACGATACAGTAATTTAGTAAATCAGTTGCTTTTTCTGTTTATGTGTGCATATGCAAACATGTACACATGCAGATGTTCCCTTAGGTTTACTATAAGATGGTGTTACACGTTTCTTTTTTTTTTCCCCTGCTTTTTTTTTTTTAAACATTAAAATGTTTGGGAGGCTGTGGGAAATCAGAGTGTTTGCTGGTGGAATGTAAAGCCTGCGGACTTGCAAATGCTCTGGTTATGACAATTATCTGATATTTTTGTGCCTTCTGCGAGAAGTTGGTAACCTCAGTCTAGTTCCCGATGACATGCATTCCAATTCCAAATTCATTTTGTATGTATCAATTTCAAGAGGGCAGCTAAAGATCAAATGTGTGTGTGGACTGAATTAATCTTTTTCTCCTTGGAAGCGAGCCATTCAGGTTGGGTGAGGCGTGCTGGCAGCTGTCTGGGCCGTCCTTAGTAGACGGTTAGACAGTTTAATTCTGTAGACCTTGTCAATCCAATATCTTTTGCTAGTACTAAAAACTGCTTTTAAAAAAACTGCGCGCAGAAATAATGTAGTCGGTTGAGGGAAAACTGTGGTTGGGATTGACAAGACGCGGCATCGGTATTTTTATAGGTCTTTACAGCTGGTACAAAAGAGATCATTTTAAATATGTATAGTGGCTCTAAGATGCTTTTCTTTGGTTTTTGCCTTTTAAGGTCAAAGCAGCGAAGACTTCTGTAAGACATGGATAGATGCAAACATGTTGGGCGGCTACGACTCGCCCAGGACCACTCTATCCTGAACCCCCAGAAGTGGCACTGCGTGGACTGCCAGACAACTGAATCTATCTGGGCTTGTCTGAAGTGCTCCCACGTAGCCTGTGGGAGGTACATCGAGGAGCATGCACTTAAACACTTTGAAGAAACCAGGCATCCATTGGCAATGGAAGTTAATGATCTGTATGTCTTTTGTTACCTTTGTGAAGATTACGTCTTGAATGATAACCCGGAGGGTGATTTGAAATTGCTGAGAAGTTCTCTGTCAGCAATTAAAAGTCAAAAACATGATCCGTCAACAAGAAGTGGCAGGACATTGCGATCGATGGCTTTGGGAGAGGACATGTGCAGCCATCAAAGGAGCCCTCAGGGACAATCTCAGATGCTTACAGCTCTCTGGCACAGGCGCCAGTCCTTGCTTGCGAAGGCGCTGCGGACCTGGTTTGATAAGAGCTCTAGAGGCCAGCTAAAGTTAAAACAAAAGAAACAAATGGAGGAGTTGGAGAAAAAGAAGGAGGCAGCTAGGCAGCGGCGGCAGGAGATGAAGAGACAGCTCCTGGAGGAGCTGGCAAATACTCCTCCGAGGAAGAGTGCAAGGCTGTTGTCTCACGTGCACAGAGAGAACTTGATTCCAAGGAAATTCAGGGAGGTGGCGACCGCTTCCCCTACCTCAAGGCAGATGCAGAGCAGCAGATTCAAACAGTTTTATTCCATCCGGCGTAAGCCTCTGATGACTCCCGGGGTAACGGGTCTAAGGAACCTGGGAAACACATGTTATATGAATTCTATTCTGCAAGTGCTAAGTCACCTCCAGAAATTTAGAGAATGTTTTTTGACACTTGATCTCTGTGAAACAGAAGAACTCTTAGCCAAAACTGTGAATGGGAAGTCTAGGATGCCTGGCAAATTGGCAAATGGGTCTGCTGCTAATGAGTCAGGGAAGACTGACAAAGTGGGATCATATGGCACGCAGAGCTTGCCAGCTGGCTTAAATGGTGGCTCCTCAATAAGCAGGAGTTTAGAACTAATACAACCCAAGGAACCAAGTTCAAAGCACATCTCCCTCTGTCACGAATTGCACACCCTCTTCAGAGTGATGTGGTCTGGCAAGTGGGCTCTCGTGTCGCCCTTTGCCATGCTGCACTCTGTGTGGAGTCTCATCCCGGCGTTTCGAGGTTATGATCAGCAGGACGCTCAGGAATTTCTCTGCGAGTTGCTGGATAAAGTACAGCAGGAGCTGGAGTCGGAAGGAACGAAGCGCAGGATCCTTATCCCTTTCTCACAGAGGAAGCTCACCAAGCAGGTCCTGAAGGTGGTGAACACCATTTTTCACGGGCAGTTGCTTAGTCAGGTATGCACGTACTTTTGCACAGAAATCAGTTGGAGCCGTTCGCACCAAGGAGCAAAGGCTCTTGTTTGTTGAGGAACCACCAGATAAGTAAGAGGAATTGGTTAGGAGTGCCTCCCAAGAAAGAAATCTGTTGGGTTGCTGTGCAGGTCGTCAGCATTTTCAGTATTTGTCACATGTATTGTAAATTCAGTTGACTCTTGCCACTTCAGAATGAAATCTGCACAAGTACAGAAGTTCTGAGCCCTTAGTTTTAAGTTTTTACCACGTTTTTAAAGCGTCTTTGTAATTTGTTTTGTCCCTTCCTGGTTTTGTTTCTGTGGCTAGAAAGAATATGATGAAGGACAGAGAGGGCAGTCATCTTGTGCTATAAAGAATAAGCTCTCTGTGACAATTTTTTTTTTTTGCAGGCATGTGAAAGTCATCTTGAGATACTGAGCATGGTTAACATACGTTTCTGTAGGAGCTGAAAGTGGTGCTCAGTCTTTTATTCCTGTGCCATTCCCTTGTCTGAAATGTATTGTTCCCCACAAGGCAGACCCCGAGAGCCCAGTGCATTTTGAAAGTCCTCAACTACCTTTGCTTTCCAGGAGAAATGAAACGTGTGCATAACTTGACACTCAAGGGTTTGCAAGATCAGACCACAAAGCATATTATATGTGTGCATTCTCATTACTATTTGTATCGTCCTTCTCCATGCCAGTCTTACTAAGCTTACCGCTCATAAGAACTTAGGTGCACGTTAAAGATTAGAAGGTGTATTTTTCAAGTTAAAGCTTTTGGCTTTTCAGGGAAAGGATGCTTGAAGTCATGGTTCATTTGAATCATCTCTGCAGCGCATGAACTTCTTGTGGACTTCTTAACTAGAAGCAATTTGTTCAGTTGTCTCTTGACTCTGGAAGATGGTGCATGTTCTAGATACAGTGGTAGGTCTCTGTTAACAGCCTGAAGATGTTCACAGATCAGTGTTATTTATCTGCTACTATGATACACTATAAATAACTTGCCGAGCTATTTATTCTACTTATGTAACTCTTGTGTACATGTACCGTATTTAATTTCAAACCCCGCTACGCACATAGAGAAGACTCCCTTCTCTATCTGCTAGCTACGAATCCATCTTGAAGTTACTGGTGCCTTCAGTGCATGAAGCTGCAAGGTTGGAAGTCGGTTTCTGTGGATGGCTCTCAGAAGAATGCACAGTCTGACCAGACCTGCTTTCTGGTTTTGTTACCTCCTCATGTTCTCACTTGCTGCCTCTGTGTTTAATTGGAAACTTTCTGCTGTTCTTATTTATAATACTCTGGGATGACATAAGAAAACAAGTGCATCTGAAATTCGTCCTTTTATGCTCCATGCATGAATAATTTTTATTTAGTTAGCAGATGAAACTTTAAAGGAATGATACACTTTGAAATGTGTGAGTAAAGTAGAGAAAATATGGAAGGAAGACTGCATGATAAATGCTAACGTGTACTTTTCGTAGTAGAAAGCAGATCCAAGGTGCTTGTTACCCAGCTGTGAATTGGTATTCTACCTATAATGGTGTTTATCTGAGGAAGTGAATCCCATAAAGGTGAATATTGTCTCCAGTTTTTGAGAATTGAGAAAGTATTTTAAATTACCTGCTCACAATAGGCAGCTTTCAGACTGGAAATAAGTAGTGTTTCTCTTGACTCACGGGTCATCTTTATGTCTGTGAAACCACACTGCCTCTTGGGCATAAACTTGCTCTTTAGATGTGAATGTGAATGGCAGTCTGCAGGTGTACGTGTACATAACTCCATTTGTGTATACACGTTTCATTCCCAGGTCACCTGCATAACATGCAACTACAAATCCAACACCGTTGAGCCCTTTTGGGATCTTTCCCTGGAATTCCCCGAGCGCTATCATTCTATCGAGAAAGGGATCGTCCCTGTTAATCAGACAGAGTGCATGCTGACAGAAATGTTGGCCAAGTTCACCGAGACCGAAGCTCTGGAAGGGAGGATATATGCGTGCGACCAATGCAACAGTAAGTCGGATCCTGCTGATGTCTTTGCCATTAGAAGCTCTCTCTGTTTTCTGAGTGAAAGGTTTCTGCTGTGTGTTTTGTGTGCCTGGAAACATGTATTGTGTCCTGTATGTATATGAGAAGTGAGTTCTTCCTCGCTGCTCGTGCTGTTCTGTTTCCTCCTGTTGATAACTTCTGCTCCTTTGGGCACCGCTTTGGAACCAGTATGTCGTTCTTCCCTCATCTCTGCCATTCAGCAGCACAATTTACTAAGGGTTTAATACGACCCTGTTCGGAACTGCTCTTGCTGCTTGTGTTGGGAGGGGAAGGGGAAGGGAACTTCAAGAATTTTTTCGGAGGGAATGGGTTGCATTTAGAGACAAAAAAAGGAACCTTATCCCCTATGGTTTGCTTATCTCTGCATGGCAGGAAAGCTTTTATAACAAGTCATCTGTATGCTGCTTGTTCTTGATTGAATCCTTTAACCAGAAATCACAAAGGCAGAGTTCTCAAGGTCTGCTGCCAGGTTAGAGTTTCCATCTCTCTGTAGGCATTTTGTCAAGAAGCTGACATTATTCTGGGAGCCTCAGGTTAATGTATTACCTGTTATATGAATGCATGTGTTTTGCTGTGCTCAGCTAGAAGATGACTTCTGCTTTCCTGTAGTAGGTCTGAGTGTAAGGTCATTATATGCCTGCAAATAATTTTAGCCTTGCGTATAATCATGCAGCTCAGCTACTCTGATAAGCTGGATTTGAAATTTTTTTCATGCAGGTATTTGTAGCAAATGTTCATCCCCTTGGGAGGAAAATGCCAATAATTTGACTTACATTGCAACTAGGCAGCTGAAGTAGCAAGTATTTGTAGAGATCTGTTCTCTATCAACTGGCAAATCTGCTACCAAACATTTTCACAAAGCGTTAGGAAATAATGGTTGACTAGATGTTCTTGAAACAAAGCCAGATATAATTTGAACAGATTTTGATTCACAAATAATGTTCACAAAGCGTCGATGTGGATAAGTACAGCTTCATTTTAATTCTGTTTTCTTTGATTCTTTGGGAAAGCACGAATTTTAACAGTTACTTCAGAGTTAAATGGCTAAAGAAACATTAACCAGCTGAAAAAAAGTCAGGGAAAGGCAACCAGCCTGTGTCTAGGTGCCAAAAACTATTGGGGGCACTGCTTGTCAGATGTGATGGAGGAGGAGCAACCCATCTGTTCTGAACGGGTGCAGTGAGGTGCAGAAATCTAATTAACAGGTACATTTCTTACTGGAAGCTCTGAAAGCCACCTGTCTTCCTCCTGGTATAGTCGTATGTTCAGTGTCCTGAAAGAGTAATCACCGGGAAGAGGAACCTTTTGCCCTCTTCTCCAGTTTCGGTTCAGAGGTTGTTTTCTGTTCTTGGGCAGGCAGAAGCCCTGCGAGAGGTGGAACCTTGCTGGAAGCATTTTCCTCTGACTTGTATTAATATTCTTGAGCTACTGAAGCTTGCTACTACAGGCCTTATTCAGGTGGTGTAAGAGGATCAAGGTAGTAGACAGAATACGATGTCAAATAGTATTATTTGTATGCTGTAGTAGTTCACCTGTTGAAACCGCTACAGCCCTGGATGTCTTTGGCACTAGTTCTGTCTTAATATTTATTGTGCTGGTGTATTTCTCAGAGCAAAATGTCATCATGAGCAGCCTGAGGGTGATAACTGATTGTGTGATTATGAGCATCACAAAAGTGAAAAACTTTAAGTATTTTTAAACATGTGAGTTTTGATCCTAGAGAATTTCCTGCTCTCTGAAAGAATGCATAAGAAATGTTTACTTGTGTGTCCATCCTGAGTGCATGTGAGCTGGACTACTGCTCCTGAGAAAAAGAGTCCAGAATGTGCTCTTTTCCCCTTCTGATAATTGATGACATCCTAACAATCTTTGCCTTTAATTTTTTTTTTTTTTTTTTTTTTTTTTGGTAGGCAAACGGCGGAAGTCTTCTCCTAAACCCCTTGTTCTGAGTGAAGCTAAAAAGCAGTTAATGATCTACAGACTACCTCAGGTCCTCCGACTGCACCTTAAACGATTCAGGTGAGTGGGGCATGCTACGTGGTGTCAGGCAGGCAACTTGCCTCTGTGTTTTTGGAAAGAAGTGATTCGTGTGGGCCCGTAACTTCTCTCACATTCTGGGAAATACATGTGTATGAACATTTTACCTAAACCAGTTGCCTGATACCCTCTCAGAGTACTACTTGTATTACAATCAGTAGCCTGTTTGTAGCGGTTTTTCTGCTATACACACAATGTAATGTTTTGTAAATACTAATACTGGTTTCCTTGACTGGTACTCAACGGTGTTTGTCTGAGTTTGCAGACAACTTGAAACAGTGGCTGAGAGATGGATGAACTGATCGGATGAGTGAAAGATTTGCTGAAGCTGGAAGCCCGTGATGGTTAAATGCTAGTATTATCTATTTACCTGCTGAATAAAACATAGCAGACAAAGCTCAAAATATTATGAAAAGTTTCTAAAATGGTTAGCGCAGGCAATTGAGTTGTGTGGGGTTTGTATTTATATAACTGAGTATTTTAAGTGCTCTTTGACTGTCACAAGAGACATTTGTCTGTCTTTGTGTTTGGCTGTTGCAAATCTCAACAATATCCTAGCTATAATAAATGAATCAGCTGTATGCAAAAGATAACTGTAGTAGAGGTTAGAGCGAAAACAGAAGGAAAAAATTAGCTGACACCTACTTGACCCTAGCACAGAAAGCTCTTCAGAGTTGTTTAGCAGTGGCGACTTTTGTGTGCATCTTCCCACAGCCCTGTACCACTGTCGAGAAGCAGGATCCCGAGTCTGATTCGTGCCCTTGTGTTTGCAGGTGGTCTGAACGTAATCACCGTGAGAAGATTGGGGTCCATGTCCTCTTTGACCAGGTATTAAACATGGAACCTTACTGCTGCAGGGACTCTCTCTCCTCTCTTGACAAAGAGACCTTTGTCTATGACCTCTCCGCTGTGGTGATGCATCACGGGAAAGGGTTTGGCTCAGGACACTACACAGCATATTGCTACAACACAGAGGGAGGTGCGTGTGCCTTATTATGGGGGAAACAAATTCAAAGAAACTCGTGTTTTATCCCATAGACGTAGTGCGTTGAAATGCTTTGTGATCAAAGTTGTTTGGAATCAAGTTTCCTGGCATTTGGTAGTTTGTTTCCCAGAATGTATTGTTAGTAGCATGTTTGGGTTTTTGGGGGGGGGTTTGGTTGTTGGTTTTGGATTTATTTTTTTGTTGGTTTGTTTTTTGTTTTTTTGCATAAAGCCACAGATTGCTGCTCTTTGCTTTGCGGTCCTTCGGGATGCCTTTTATTGCTTGCTGTTAACAGCATGAATGCTTCATTTTCTCATGCGATGTAACTCTGTGGAGCTGCTCCAGCTGGGTGTCTTTTCTCAGTATCCTTGGGACGATGAGATAAACAGAAAGTGTTTTGAAACTGGACAGGAACTATTCATGAATAACATCCGCAGGGTTTTTGTGAATTTCCAGCAGTCTCTTTCTGCAGCTGAATTAGTATTGACTCTGCCTTCTGACTTGTGGAGAAAGAGGTACAAATTGGCTGTCTCCAGGGAATTTTTATTTTCCTAATTGAGTTTTTGGGCTATAATACACAATTGGTTAAATTATGATTTGGTATTTCTAAAATCTGTTAACAGCACAGAAACAATCAAAATGTTTTCCAGATTAGAAACTCCTTTCCAAAGCATCTGCAGAGGAAAAGATAGAGATGCCTTTTCGCCTACATTGCCCTTTTTCTCTGTGGATGTTTCCTATGAAGAGTTCCAAAATGCATTCAGAAGGAATTATGCCTCCCTTACTAATGTGCTCTTTCTCACTTTGATTCCTAGGTTTTTGGGTCCACTGCAATGACTCCAAACTGAATGTATGTAGCGTGGAGGAGGTGTGCAAAACCCAGGCCTACATTCTTTTTTACACTCAAAGAACAGTGCAGGACAAAGCAAGAATCTCAGAAAAACAACTCCAAGCTCAGGTGCCGTCCAAAAATAGTGATAAGGACAGAAGACTGACATTCCCATGATGGGGAGCTCTGTAACTCAATCGACGGTCTCAGTTTTTTTTAAAACCATTGGCGTTCACATCTTTCCTCTTTGTAGGAAAAAAGGCTCGCTGCAGGAAGGGGATCAAATCATGATGTTTGCCGCCCAGGGTCTGGAAAAGCGTATCGAGCTGTGCAATTCTGACACGTAAGATTGTAGTCAGAATCTTGGTTTTAAAGCATCTTGTTGTTAAATTATGCTCACAAAATGAAATGAGGAAGTTTGATGCTGTATATCGTTCATCTCATATCAAAAAGGAATTGCGTAAGGCGTGTAACAAATGAGCACAACCGGGAAACAGAAGCACTCAACTGGCTTCAAAAACCGTCAGTCCTAGTAATGCTGATAAAACTCCAGAAGGAACAGGTATAGTACCCTCCCCTTTAATTGCCATTCAGATTTGCAGGGTTTGAATCACACAGTCACCCAGGTATTTGTTTGAACGGTTGTTGGATACGTGGAGTTTTCCTGCTGGAGAAATGCTTAACATTCTTCTACCAGAGAAAATACTCCCCCAGGCCTCAGCTCTCTCTGTGATACCAATTCCTTTGCCATCGGTTGAGGGCAAACCCGTGGCTGGCGAGCTTTGTCAGCAGCTCTCTTTCTCAGTGTTACTGGGGCTGTGTGCACACTTGATGGTTTATTCTCTGGGCTGAACTGAATTGGCAGCTAAATTTGCTAGGAATGTGATTTTAAAACAGTTCTGCTCTGGAGGAAGTGTGTTTAAAAACAAAAACCCTGTAATAAAACAGGAATGTACCTGTGTGTCGTATCTGTTTACAGTGGCAGCGAAAACAAAGCCTATACTACAGGCTTCTGCTGGCATAACTTTGTTGACCAGGTTTATAAAGAAGTCCAAGCCCTGGCTTGCACAGCTGTGACAGCAGAAGCGTGGAGGCATCTTACACTGGCAAACTAGCACTTTCTGACAAGTGTGGCTTGTTTTCCTCAGGGGAACGGCACGGTGGTAATACCACAACGGTGGGAGACAGAGCTAGCTTCTGTTACTGCTTCTGTAATGGAAATATTCATTAATTGCGGTTGTCACACGAAGCCCAGCCTAACCGAAGGCAGTGAGGTTGCGCAGGTGTAGTGCGCAGAATTCAGCCTGTGAAGTCTTTATGGCTGCTGGGACGTAAAGGGAAGGAATGTAGTTAAATCTCAAATTCCATGTTGAGTTTGAAAGGCTATAAAAATGTCTGTCTCTGTAATCATCTTGATTTTAGAATTCTATGAGAAACATAGGGCCTTAGTTGACTATTTATAGTCACTTCCCAGCCTACAGTTGCACCTCAGGTGTTTTTATAATTTGGGGTTTGGCTGTTCACATTTCATATTTTAATCAAATCCGAATATGTAACTGCAAAGAGACGTGACGTCTTTCGATCTTGATGGTTTGGGTTTTTTTTTAAAGTGGTTAAAGGTGAAGTAATCTAAAATACGAGGTTCTTCCAAAAAATTGGTTCCATTTTTAGGCAGATAGGTTCTGAAAGTGTATTTCTCTTCCTCCCTCTTCTCCTTTTATTCTTGTCAGCATTTGCCCATCACACACTGACCTCCCCACATTGTTGTTGGAGGGCGTGAAGAGGTAACTTTCCCAAATACCATTCCTCTCTTTCCACTGGCACTACTGTGACTTTTAATCTCCTGTCCTATGGGCAAATTGGTCTCTCGTACTTTGGCTGCTGTTAATCGCTTCAGCCACACAGAAATGAGCACAGCAAACAAGAAACTTTTATTTTGTCAGAGCACAGTGTTGTGCTAGGTCTTCTACGTCCTTAAAGTTTCCTGGTTTTTTATTTCTAAGCAACATGCTGCTTTTTGAGCCTACAAAAACTGTCTTTTTGACAAATAAGTATAATTTTGAGATCATATGCTGTTATTTTTTTTGAGACGAGACAGTTTGAAACAGTCCTATGGGAACTCATTAAAAAGTTTTAGTTTTGGTTCTCTAAATGTAGCGGGGCCTGGAAGGATTTCTTATGAATGTGTGTATATCTATGTATTTACTAGGTAGGGGATTTTTTTGTGCTACCAGTAAATAAAATTAATAAAAATGCAATAGGCCAAATTGAGATCAGTAAAAGTAAGTGTGACTGCTGATTGCAGGGGAAGCTGAGTTGCGTTCAGCACCGGTGGAAGTTGACATTCCTGAAAGAATCAAAATCACGCGCTTGTGATTGTCAGATACATGATGGATTCTTTTCTAGAGCTAAACATATGCTCTGTGAAGACTGTGTGTCTCAAAAGGAAAATTAAAGGGGAAATAGTGCTTAATATTGCCTTTTTAATCTAAGAGGTGGAAGGGAAAACTGGTGGTTTTCCCATGCAGCTGTCCTTCCAGGCCTGTCCCCCCTTCAGGAGGATTATGTTCTTCTAAGTGACAGTTGTGGTTTACTATGGTGCGTTCCCTTTCTGAATCCCCTAGCCACTGGCCACTGGCCACAAAGCTGGCCCCGTTTGTATAAAAATTTGATAGAAAGGCAAAGCGTAACGCAGCATCAGTTGTCACTGCAGTGAGCCGAGACTCTTTGCTATGAATGCTCATCTTTTGACTGAGTGTTTTGCATTAATATTTGAATTCAGGTAGTAACACAGTTGTCACGTGAATCGAGTAGGTTGCAGAGGGGAGCTGGGAGCGTACCTGTAGCCGTTGCTGCATCTGATCGCCCGAGCAGATTTTGTAGCGTTTGCTGGTGACGTCTTTTGACGTTAGTGGCCTCTCCATGTGACGTTAGCCTAGTTGTGCTGAGATGTGGAGATACTGCAGTCAGAAAAATGATTGCCCTGATAGGGAAGGAATAAATGATACTTTGAAGTAAATAAACTTGCTTTTTCCAACACTGTGAGGTTTCTGTAATATTTAGCTTTTATTTGGAAGCGATAGCGTATAGCATTTTTTATGCTGTTTGGTTTATATTTGTCTACTGCAGGCTTCTTTATATAAGCATAGCCCAATGCTCCCTCCATGCTGGGCGCTGTTTTATAGTGTCCTGTTTGCCAGAAATTCTGATTGGAAGTTTACCTCTCTCCATCAGTAAGGTGAAAATACTACTTGCAATTACAGTGAAGCCCACTTAAGTGCATGCCTGACAAAGGGTAGCCTGTAAAGCAAACTTTGTCCCTCCTTTAACGGTATGGCTTCAAATCCTGCTAATACACTGATGTGTATTTAGAATAATTCCAGGTTTAGGCTCTGCTTTTGCAAATACGCAGGCAGATGATGTGACTTAACTCATGCGTGGAGCTCAGTGGTCGCAGTTGTGAGTTGCAAGCTAAGGGTCTGCAACACAAAAACCTTTATTTTGGTATAACTGGGAGCAGAATTGGTTTCTCTCTGTGCTGGGATTCCTGTACTGGGATTCCAGTCTTGTAGCAAGGAGTCAGTTGCCTTGAGAGGTGCTCAGAGCCAGCGCGAGGTTCTTGGCACCTTGCAGGTTACTGGCTGAAGGCGTAGGAAGCCACCGTACGCTGGCAGACTGTCAGCCTCGTGAGTATGCAGCCTTTGGGCCACAACTGTCCAGCATACCCTTATTCCATTCAACTTTTAAGTAAATTGGCATTCCTTAATGTTATGTTTTTAAGAAATTAAGAATCTTAATGTATTCATGGTCAGCTATGATACAGCATCTACTGTAGTTGTTGGAAAACACTTTATTTTAGCTGACTTTATTCCACTAGCAAGTTAGTGACATAACTTTGTCTTTATGTTATCCTTTTACTGTCTGTGTTCCCAAGTTAAACTATGCATACTGCAAAAACCGTTTCTCTGCAAAGCACTGAAAAAACAGGTTTTTTCCCCCATTAATTCTGACCAGAACAATTCTCTGGTCTGGCTTTGAAGTTTTTGATGTGAGGCAGCAAATGGAATAATGCATATTAAATGCTTGACATCAAACTTTACCGGTACTGCCACCCAGAACCACCCCCATGTACTTAGGGACTTCCAGACGTTTTTTTGAGTGTAAGAGTAAAATTGGAAATGGTAAGAGCATTAAGTGTGTCCTATGGACTCACTATCAGGAGGGGTTTTTTTGCTTCTAGAAGGCAAGGCTTCTAGCACAAATACTGTCTTGGTGGTAATTTAGAAACTCTTTTATTGATTGTAATGTCCCCAGGCCTGAATATGCTTAATTGCATCCCAATGAGAGAGACTAATGAAACTTCTGGCTGTTGCCACATTACCCCAGGATGAGCTGCAGTGGAAGTCAGTGGTGTTGCAGAATGAGAACTACATAAGCAAGAGACAGGGAGAGTAGTTTTACCTACCAATACAGTTTTGTGAACTAATTTTCTATGATTCCTTAGATTTGGTGCCTTGTATCCAATAATATTTTGCATGGGACAGAAACATTGGGAAGTAAGTTGTGAATTCTCCCCTCCTGACTGAAGCAGCAGACAGATCTGTGTGTTTTTACAAGTACTCAGTATCACGGACATTTTTACATTTCCTATCTGTATGTGAATGAAGTTTACCAGCAAGCTCAGTATTTTAGTGTTACATGTTTGAAATCTCTGTATTTGTAACAATTCAAATAACATCTTGTTCAAAGGTGGATTAGATTTGGCTGCTTAGATTTTCTTATGTCATCCAGGCCCCTCCAGTCAGGTCAGTAAGTTGATGTCTGTCAGAGCATGTAGCATAGAGCAAGGACTAAAAACTCCAGTGCGGTTTTTGGGCAGAGTAGCTGTAGCTTTGGGAAGCACCTTCTGTTACAAACCTAATGATAACTGCTGGTTAAGAAAAAGAAAAAAAAATACCGTTCCCATTGTCATGCCAGTGTTTGCACAGGTTTCCTCTTAGCCTAGCAAATACTTCCATGTGTGAGCAAAAGCGTGCCATGGTTAACGCCTGCGTAAATTTAATATGCAATAGATACAGTTGCGTAAGGCAGGTAAGTGTCCCTTCTTCAAAGTAAATAGTAAAATCCAAGCACCAGCTCCGAACACTGCCTTTTTGTGTGCGTCTAATCCCTTCAGCGGGTTTGAGATCAGATAGGATGGACTTAG